CTTCAGATCGGAGTGTTTAAGGTTTTAAATAGATTTCGGAGTTTCTTTAAAAACATATCAGATTCTAAAATACTAAATTAAATATGAAAAAGTATTTTAAGTTTATTTATTGGTATTTTTTGGTTAAAATTCTATAATCTTTGCAGTAATTGAAATGTTAATCTTCATTTACTGCAATCGGTAACTTTGTTGAGCACGTTTTCTCTGTTATGGAATGATTTTTTTATTTATCAACTTTAAGCGAATGCGTTTTCAACTAATTTAAATAAATTATAGAATTAAAATGTCAGAATATCTTTAATATTTTGTAAAACACCAAAAAATCATTGCTAGTGTGGAGCCAACAGTCGAGCGTTGCTAGCAGCACCGAACCCTCATCCCCAGCCATTTCGGACACATACTCGCATGAAACACCCAGCGGCGAAATGTCCATTAGTATAACCAGCGCCGAAGGGTCAGTATGACAATTAAAACTTGCATATACATGTACATACATATATCGATGTTTGAATGTCAAAACTCATGCCAATAAAATTTTTCGTATTTCACCGTTTTTTTGCAATTTCAATATTTTTTTTTATTTTTAAAAACTGTGTTGATACCATTATTCAACTGTGAATATTCGCACACTTTGTAAACAAATGTGAGACAAAATTATTTCTTAAAACGTAAACAAAAAAAAAAACAAAAAAGTAGCGTTAACATCCTGCCCGTAGCCGAGGAGCTCGCCAAATTCTTTCCACAACTCGATGATGCCGACCTGAATGCCGTCTCGGTATATACGCCCATGAATACGGATGTCTTAGATGTGGATGCCGACGGCGTATTTACATTCGGCGGAGGCAGTAGCCGTGGTGATGTGAGCGCCTGCTTAACACCGGTCAGCTTTGGCATGGACATAAGTATGATTGCCAACAAAGGATCGATGACTCTTTCAGTTGATGTGAGTAAAAAATTATACTATTTTTTAGGGAAGAGCGTAAGGTTTTTTTCTTTAAATAACCAGAACCATAATCTTTTTAAATTTCACTTTCGCTCAGCAATATGCAATGCTTAAATAAATTTTCTTATTCCACCCTTCCCTAGTATTCTATATCGGTGAACACCTTTTCAAATCCCAAGATATCAAATATGACGTCAAATTTATTTATACAAAAAATATTCAATCACCCATATACCTAATATAATATAATAATTTTCGAACTACCAGTTAGCTTGATATCATATATGTATGTATATCGGTCAGTATGTAAGATATCTTAATTAAAATATGGGAACGTATTTTCTTGGACATACTGTAGATTAGGTCCGAAAATTAATTAAATCAATGAAGTTCCTTGTACTAAATCTAATCATATTCGTTTCGTATCGTATTTTGACAGCTATTGAATTCTTGAAGTGTATGTACATATGTATATAACTATATACCTTTCCAAAGTATTTGCTTAACCTTAACTCTTTTAAAACACAGGGTTTCGAAGATGATGACGAAACTACGCTTTCAGCCGCCACAACACCATCGCTACCTGTAGATGAACCAAAACTTGAGACCTGCTATTGCTGTCCCACTCATGCTGAGATGGCTGAACCGCCTGATGTCGAAGATACCTTCGATGCACTTCCTGAACCGCTTAAAATACCAGATACAAAAATTATCAGTTCTTCGCCGGAGACAAATTACTTCGGCGAACCGACGTCATTGCCTCCGCTGCCACTTTGTGGTGAAAATACGCTACGCCGTGGTGCACGCAAGGCAACCGATCCAATATCGCCCAAAATCAAGAAGCAGATCAGTCTCTTTGAGGGCGGGGAATATGAACGTCAAAAGGAGTACAACAATCTACATGCGTCTATCAACATACCGTCGGCATCCACGCTAAAGCAGGATGCACGTCTGCGTAAATTTGAGACACTCACTCAGTCTACTTCCAATTCCAACTTTCCATTTGCAAGTAATACACTAAAGCGCGTGCAGCACAATGCTTCCGAACTGGACGATGTTAGTCACACGCAGTCGTGCATTAATCTGAAAAGTTCGGTGTGCGCTTCGCCCGCAGCCTCCGCTACAGGATCGCCGCAGCACAAAGCCACACCCATTGCAATTGTTACACAGCCTGTTTCTACGACGTCCAACACAGTGCCGACGCATGGTGCTGCCGTCGGCACAGACAACGTTGGTCCACCACGACCAGGTGCTTTGATTGTTAAAGAACGTTTCATAGAGCCGCCAAAACGAATTCCTCGTAGTTTCCACAGCAAAACTCAGTCCATGGACTCCGATTTCTTGTTCAATGAGTTCTTGTTAGTACCAGCACGTTCGCCGACCCACGCACCCATTTCGCCCGAAGGTAGCAGCCGCACAAGCAGCGCAAGCACATCCCCTGCATCGCGCTCCAACTCGCGATTTATGGCGACAAAAATTTTGGACGATGTGGCTACTTTGCAACATAAATAAGCAAAATGGTGTTAATAAGAAAATAATTTTAAAATCGTTGCTTGGAAAGCCTTATTTATTGTAATGAGCTACTAAACAAAAAGTGAATTGCTAATAGTTGCCGAGTGAACTATTTTGACTTATCAGATAACATATGAAATCATTCCATTAAAATTATTTATTTTTCCTTTTAAATTTTACTTATACATATGTAACACTTTCAAACTTATATGTATCCGGTACATGGTGGTCTATTAAAGTTAAACAAAATTTAAATTTACCAACTTTACAAATACGTTTCAAAATGTGTAACAGTAAGAATTTGGCGGTAAGTACACAGTTTTCCCTAAGATAACTTTTAGTAATTTTATCCAAAATCATATTTACCATATATGCAAAAACTCTTAACCAAGCAGCTACGTACTCGTATGTAGTTGTATATTAAAGATATAGTTAAGTAAAGCACTATTATTTTTTCGAGGTTCCCGGTTAGGTTATATACATTTTTAAATAATTATTAGGCTTATTCGATAGACGTTTTTATTTGTCATTCAATAGAGTTTCTCTTTTTTTTATCAAAGATGAGTGCTCCATAGAAATAATAAGAGTTGTTCGTCAATAAACATATTTTCCTTGAAATATTTACAAAGAGTTAAAGAGTAGCATCTATATAGTTCAAAGAACAGAAACCTATCAGCAATCTCCTATTATTTTAAACTCATTCCGTAGTGTTTAAAACATGCATATCTTTTATAAAAGAAAATTTAATAATTATTTTGATGTTCCCTGATTTGTTGAAATCGTCTCCCTACCGAAAAACTATTAAAATATCAGAAAGTCGTTTTAAAAGTAAATTGAGCATTCTACTTGAAACCATAATTTAGAAGAAGTATTTTTTATGCCGACTAGCAGTTAGCTGAGGAAGTTATGTTAGATTAGGCAAAGGAGTTAACTTTCCCATCAAAGGTTACCTAGCTTCCAGCTGGGAGAGTTGTGAGCGCTGGAGTTTCTGATGCCCAAACCTCTAATCTAGAGTCGTTTGATCCTAAAAACGACTCTCATAAATCAATGAAACGCTATGAGATTGTCACAATTTTTTAAGGCGGTTAATATCAGCTCCAGCTTATTCTCTATGTTCGCCAAAGCTACCTCTACCGAGATGTTTCAATCTTAGTCTGGTAAAGTCTGGACAGAGAGAAGAAAATGTTTAGATAATTTCACCTTGCAAAGAGCTAAGAATTTCGATGTACTCTTTTTCTATTTTGGGTCATAAAAATCTCGCAGCCACACAAGTTCTGGTTCAGCGCATGCCAAGGTCACGCGAGGTTCATAGATTCAATGCTAGAATACGAAAGGACGGAAAAACAAAATATCGACCCGTTCCCAATTCGATTCAATAGAGGCAAGGGTGTTCTTATTAGTAAACTCTTCGGCTTTGTAATTTTCGGAGATTCTGTTGTGGCCGGGCACCCAAACAAGTCTGTTACTGCATCTGATACTACCTTCTTGCCAACTACCTAGTTTCTAAAGAAATTGCAGTGGTCTGATAGCCCAAAACGGGTTGGTGGAGAGCTCCTTATAGAAGGAACCACCGTCCCTTTGAGCTCTAGCTATCCCTGGATGATATTACTAACAATTTACAAAAACGGGAAATCAAGACATCCAAATGGCATTTCCATTTCAACAGCAGTAAAGTACTTAATTAATTGCTCTATTAAATGTTAAATATAAAATAATGAACGGTTAAATAGCTGAGGATCTGCTATTCGAACATTGTGTTAGATTAGTTGTCTTCGATTCTCTGGTGTTTCAGCTCTGCTTGCTTGTGAAAAAAATTGGCAATAACCACAAAAAAGTGAGCATTTCTTTAAAGTGTTATAAATTTGTTACTTTTTCTATATTGGAATATACCAGTTAGTTGGATTTACGCTAACGTTTGTTAGATTCAATACTATCTAAGCAAATCTTAGACTGATTCTTTGTGATTATAAAAGTCTATTTCAGCTATTTAATTTATACCAATGTGTTTGTTTTTTACCAGTTTGTTTAATTTATCTCAGTTTGTTCGATTCACTACTAGCCAAAGTTAACCAAACCTTAGACCGATTCTATGTGATTTATACCAGTATATATAATTTATGCCAGTTTGTTAGATTTATGTCAATTTGTTCGATTTGCCACTAGCTAATTTTAAGTAAATCCTATACAGCTCCAATTTGATTGCGCTAGTATTTTTTTATAGTATATGTTGGTATGACTTATGCCATCTACTTGATTTATGCCACTCATTTATATGTTGTTTTAATCATAGACAGCTATTGATTTCGTTGATTTTCACTATTCTTTTAAATTTAATGTTCAGTTTAAAAAAACGGTGAATAAAATACATGCTATACCAATAACCAGAAAGAAGCAAATTTTTATCGCTGTGTATAAAGGTGAGGAGTTCATTGTACATTTCATCTCTGCTGCGTATATTATCTATACTAGAATAGCGGATTTTCTTTTCAAAACTTATATCATTATATAATTATTATTAATTATGTTTAAATAACAACTTCGAGTATTGCGTAGTTGCTAAAATTAGCAAATCATAATTTTATTAGAATAAATAGCAACATTACACAGTAAATTTTTTTTTTATATTAACATTTGTTTTTCGTGTAAATTGTTAAGTAAAAATTATTGACCTCAGGTATTTTGTAAAAACATTTTTTTAAATCGTAAATATTTATGTTAAATCATAGTTTTTACATTGAACATTCAAAGCTAACTGCACATTTATACAAATATTATATATTAAAAAAAAAAACACATTCTTTATAATTCATTAGGTTTACAATATTATTACTGACTTATCTTATTATGAATTTGTTACCTAAATATTATATTATATAATACTTGTAGAACTAAAACTAAAATCGTGTTTATCATAAATTAATGTAAAATATAAAATTTTCATATAAAACATTTTGACAATTTTTCAAAAAATTAAATTTTTTTAAATTTAGAATTACTGTTTTAAACAAATAGTTAGTTTAATAATGCATGTTTTATAAATTAAAGTAAATTAAACTAGCTATTTATGTTTCGAAAGTGCTTTGCACAAGTAAAATGTGCTTTAGTTAAATATTTTTTGCGCACACGCACCTAAATATAAGTAAAACACATACATATATACTTGTACTTATGCTAGTAAAGCGAGTTCGCGTCAAAAAGACACATGCACCTACATATTTGTGGCTTTTCGTTACGTTTATGCATATATACATACATACATGAGTATATAAGCAAATTTAAATATTATTATTAGTAATTATATAATACATATATAAGTATATACATTTATGTATATGTATGCACATACTTATGTATATAGGCACATTGATTTTTTTAATAGTTAGTTTAGTAATTTTAGTTGTTTGTTTGTTTGTTGAAGCCATTCCTTGCAGAATTGTTTGGCGCTTGGCTGCAACTCTTCTGCTTTTAGCATACTAAAGCTCTTCAGTTAACATTTTTTCACATCACATGACATTTTCGTTTTAATCTATGGTACATAAATATTGCATACACACATACGTATGTATGTATGTAAATTTATACTGCAACTCCGTTGTTTCTGAATTGTCCTTTCGTTAAGTCATTCAGCTCACGATCCGATGCCTGTAATCGGTATTCGTTTTTATGCGAATCAACTCCCGTTATGCAATTCCGCATTAATTGCCACTTCGGACAGCAAGGGCAGCGCTTTTTCTTAATGCTTTTGTTTCAAATTAATTAATTTTTGAGAAAAATAAATTATTACAATTTTTGCATACAAATACACTAAATATATACTTAAATACATACATGCAAATATATGGCATGCAAAAACTCGCATGACAGCTACATGCTAAGATTTATATCATAAAATACATAAAAACGTATATATGGCAATATTTACAGGAGCTTATGCTTGCATGTGTGTGTGTGTGAGGGGGGAGGTACTGAAAGTTATGCATGCAACGCGGCGCATTTAGAGTGGTTAGTATATTTGTATATAAGTAAGTATGCGTGTTATAAGTTAGCCAATCATAATCTAAAAATTTTCATTTAAGTTAAAATAATTAATTTAAGTGAGTTAATGATTAGTCGACTTTAACTACGGAGTTGAGGGTTACAAACAACTACATAAGGTTTTAACTATGAGATTATTAAGTGTATTGCTCACTTAAGCGTTCGTGGATCTTCACGCTGGTACTTTGCAAACTCCAAAAAGATCTCTTCCAGCGTTGTCTGACTAATGGAATAGTCCTCGATGTTGAGAAAATCGCGATTCTTTTCCATTAAACCGAATATGCTTGACCACTTAATACTTGAGAGCGGAATGTAGAATGTGAGTATGCCCTGGTATTCCTCTCTGCAATGAAAGAGATATTTATAAATTAGTGTGTGTAAATATATACATACAGATGTTTATAAAATCTATATATATAAAAATGAAACCCGTTTTCCGTTGTCACGCCATAACTTGAGAACGGCTAAACCGATTTAGCCGTTTCTTTTTTGTGTAGTTTTCTAATAGTCTGTAGAAGGTTCTTACGGAAAAAAATATTAAGAAAATGTCTCAGAAAGATTGAAAAAATACATTTAATTTTGCATATTTTAAAAAACGCGTAACGAATTTCATCATCATTCATAGCCATAGACTATATTGAGAGAGCATCGTTTGTTCAAAACTGTGGTTACTTAATTAAATTCTATCGCACTAATTTTTGAAAATTACTCGCCACAATTAAATGTACCGACTTTGACGGTAATATTAATAATACCAGTGATGATTTCATTTTAATGTAAGTATTTAATAATAATAAAATATATATAATATGAGTTAGATTTTAGAATAGAAGTTAGATTTCATATACTAACTGCAACCAAATACGGAATGCCCTAAACTTCCAGCCAATTTCAGCACTATTGTACACGGACAAAATTAATTAATTGCCCGTATTTTCCCAGTCGCACAAAATAATTATTTAAATCATAACTGGCTCGGTAACTGAGCTATATAGACAGAAAAATATGCTGAAATTAGTTTTGATAATAACATTTTACTGAATTCAACTGCTACTCAATATAATTTAATTATACCATAGCCACAGCAAGGCGTGCCCGGGGTCTTCTAGTATTGAAAATATGTATCCAACAAAAGTATGAAAATTAGAAAAATTTTAAGGTATATTTTGAGAAGTCACATGTGTATGCTGTTCATTGTACAATATGATTTTTTTGTGTTCACAGTTGGGTGGCAAATTTATGACAAACAAGAAAGAATGTTAACTTCGGTTGCACCGCAGCTAAAATACCCTTCACAATGAAAAAAGTTTTAACACAAGAACTTGGTTTTGATCGGTCAGTTTTGTTTTGCAATTATATGCTATAGAAGTTCAATCTGAACAATTTGTTTGGAGATTGTGCCGTTACCTTGAGTAATATTACATGCCAAATTTCATGAAGATTCCTTGTCAAATAAAAAAATGTCCCTATAACAACATTATTTTAATCGTTTAGTTTGTATGGCAGCTATATGCTATCTCGATCTAAAAAAATTTAACGAATTTTATAGCATATTCATGGTGAGTAAACTATGCCAATTTTCTTGAAAATATCTCGTAAAATAAACAAGTTTTCCATACAACGACTTGTTTTGTGCGATCATACACACAGTGAGATCATACTACAGTGGACCGATCTGAACAGTTTGTTCAGAGATTGTAGCATTGTTCTAGACAACTCTAAAGGAAGTTTTCTTATAAGAACTTTATTTTGATCATTCTGGTTGAATAGCAGCTATATGCTATAGTAGTTCGATATCGACGGTTCCGACAAATGAGCAGCTTTTTGGAGAGATTAGGACGTGTGTAAAATTTCAGAAAGATATCTCAAAATCTGAGGGACTAGTTCGTGCATATAAAAACAGATAGACGGACATGGCTAAATCAACTCAGCTTGTCACGTTGATCATTTATATATAGAATATATTTTGTAGGGTCTCCGACAACAAACTTCGCGAAGAGTTTCCTTGCCGATTGATGGTGGGTTCCATAAACGAAATTGAAGTTTATTTAAGAAAACTTTGTAGACGTTAGTCAACGAACTCTCAGTTGAAAATTATTTTGTGCCAAAGTCAGTCTTTTTTATCTCAAGATATATTGATTTACTTGTAAACGTGATCTAACTTCTACATTTATCCTCTTAGTTCACAAAACCAAGATATTTAAAACAAAACATTCCCCATTGCTAATCTAAATTATCTAAAGGAAAAAGCTTTATAATTATAGGCTGTAATGTCGGATAAACTCAAAATGGTAGAACAATAATATTATATCTAACTTTTAGCATACTTAATCAAATAAGGTCTAAATATCTTTGTCAATTGTTTGAAATATACATACTGTAACATTGCCTGCGGGAACATGCGCTCAACAAACTCCTTCACCGAGATAATGTCCTGTTGCATCTTCATATGGGTGGGTGAAAGATCTCCGCGACCGCTTCTTGAACTACATCAAGTAATACAAAATAGTTAAGTTCTTCATACATGTTAAACAACTAATATTTATATACCTTCTTATAGACGGTCGGAATTGATCTGGTGCGCGTCGCACTTTGATCTTCAGGATCAAACCCTTGGAAAACTTATTCTTCAAATGCTGCGTCGAGCCAATACATTTGAACTCGCCATTTACCATGATTGCCAGTCGTGTACACAAAGCCTCACACTCCTCCATACTATGTGACGTTAGCACAATCGATTTGCCTGAATCACGTATGCGGCAAACCATATTCCAAAGTTGGCGTCTAGCAGCTGGATCCATACCGGTTGTCGGTTCATCGAGATATATGACGCTGGGACTTCCGATTACGGCAATCGCTGTGCTCAATTTGCGTTTATTGCCACCGCTATAAGTCATGGTAGGCTTGTCTAAATGCTTCATGAAACCGAATGACTTCGCCAGATCTTCAATGATACGATTTATACGCGCTCGACGTACGCCACGTAAAAGACAATAAATGTGCAACGTTTCACGGCCGGTCAGATCGTCTAATAAAGCATCGAACTGTGGACAATAACCGATATCTTGATAAATTTGACTCATCTCGGATTCCAGCGACATGCCCTTTATATAAGCCGAACCGTAAGTGATACGTTCGTCGCCAGTCATCATTTTAAATGTCGTCGTCTTACCGGCGCCATTAACACCCAACAGGCCAAAGCACTCGTTTCTAGAATTGATATAAAATATTAAGTATTTGTACCAAAAATATAAATATATATGCTTACCTTTGAACACATAGTGAGACCTGATTGACCGCCAGAAAGTTGCCGTAATACTTGGTGACACCATTAAGCACCAAATTTTGATTAGCCAGTGTATCGGTGGACATTTTCAGTATGCGATTCTTCTCGTTGTCAACATCATCATCAAAGTAACCGTCCTCGGGTGGCGGTGGTGGTTTACTGAGGATATGTAAATATATTTAAAAGATTTACAAAAGATCTACACACAAATAATTCCAAATGTAAAGCTACGATTACTTACAAAGCTCGTTTTCTGATCATGTAAATGAGCTCATCAATTATGCCATATTCGCGCGAAATGATAATTAAGAAGAATACCACCGTTGTGGCGGCGAGATACAAAATTTCCAACAGAATACCAGGTTCCGCATAAGCAAAATATGGCGTTGTGGCTGTAAAAAAAAAATAATTTAGTTTTATTTAGTATTATTTATAACATAAATTTAACATATTGATGACTTACTACAACACTTTGGCAACAAAGCGCAGCGCAATTTATCGGGTAGCACTTGCAGCACCTCACTGTTGCAGGTATTACGTGTAGCCCAATTAACATATAATTTATTCCAGCCCATTGCAAGTGAAAAGTGTGGAAATATTCTAAAGAACCACTGCAAACCATCCGCAACATCCTTGGTATCGAAGACCTCATATGACATTATTACAATAACTACGAAAAGTGCAACACCTGTAAGAAAGAAATTGTGGAAAATTACTAAATTTATACCCACGATAAGAGAAATGAAGAGGCTTGACTGAGAATTAAAACTCTATATCTAATAATATTCATTTTCTTATAATTTCTTTCTATCTGCTTTATAGAATTTGAACTAAAAGCAAGGTTTCCCTGACCCTTAAGGAATTATCATAGATATAGCAATACTTTGCTCCAACGTTTTCAGATATTAATTAGCCAAATGATATATTCAATTAAATTAAAATAACTAAGTATATAGTTTCAGAAAGAACGACGAGACTCGTTTGCTCTAAATCAAATATTCATTAAAAAGCAGAAACTGAGGCATCGCCTCCAAAAATTATGATAGTTTTTTAGGCATTACTTGCTGCAAGAGCTTTTGAATATTATTTGTTCTTGATCGGCGTTAAATTGTAGTAGGGCTAACTCGCCTCCAAAAAGAATCATTGAAAATAAGCCTCAGCTCTAACCTGATATTATAGCAAATTGCTTCTTCTTCTTCTTCTTCTTGGTCGTGTATTTTTTTGCAAGAGGGCCCAAATTTGGTATACTCGTGAAAGAGTATTGTAGATGTTATAAAAACAACATTTTTTCAGAAAAGTCCTTGTTAAATATGATTTTAATATTTTCGGTTTTCGGCACTTTAATATTTTGATAACATTTTACTATCACATTTAGCACAGACAGGAGAGGATAACTCTAATCTAGAACATCTAACATGAGTCATGGCTAATGCAGTTCTAAACACTATCCGTCGTTAAGAGTTTAACAAAGATTGGCATAACGGGTTTACTAAGTGCTTTAAGAGTTTTTACAACAAAATTCATATTTAATTAAGAGCCGTTATATTGTAGCATTTCTTTGAAAATTTTAAGGTTATCGGAAACGTACCTGCAAATATATTGATGGTGGAAGCGCGCGAAAATCCGGTGGCTGGTTCACTGAATAAGAATGAAAGCAAATAGGTAAAAGGTAGCACGGAGAACCCGAACATTATTAGAAGGAAGAAATAGCGAACTGGAATGAAAAATTTATAAATATAACGGTTATTTGTTTGTATATTAAATCATTATAAACTGTATATGACTTACTTAAATCGGAGAAGTATGCATAGCCCTCCTCTTGGAAACAAGCCAACGTTATAATCACTATCAAGGCAGTTATAGCATAAGTGGTCATGTCCCAGAGCATTTGTGACAGCCAGAAAGTCCACACACGCACGCCACCCACAAATTGCAAAAGTTTCGAGCGCGTCTCACGCTCCTTAATTAGGAAAAGTATATAGAAGGCACTTACAAAGCACATGCAGAAGCCAACATTGGTAGCTAACTGCGTACCCACATTTGTACCCGCGTTCAATTGCGCCAATTTAGTTTCGAGCGAATATGGCAATGGTGCATTGATAACGGTTATTGATGCTTCTGGACCAATAAGAACCCTAAAGTGGAAAACCGATTTAAAATTTTTTCAGTACATAACCTTAAATGCTTACTTTGCCATAGCATTGTGCACAAGATTCACAGTTAACGGCGCCGTGTGTAACGGTTGGTTGTTCAACCAAGCCGTAATTTTGCTGTCGTTCACCGTCGCGGCGGCTACGTAACGCGAATTAATACGCACTTGTTCGGTTTCGCCCAAATCCAAAATATATTTGGTGAAATTTTTTTCGCCTGTAAGTTGTAACTGGTGATTGCCGCCATAAGAACTAACAATGGTTTTATACTCAGCGGCAATACGCTGCTCCAGTGAGCCCGGTGCGATGTTACTAGTCGTCTCGAGTACCGTAAATGTTTTTGGATATTGTGTCAAGCTGATCTTTATGGCAGGCAGTTGTCGAAATGTGCTGGCATTGCGCGAGATCAAGATGGTGATGATCACAAAGAATATGGGTAACAAATTTTGTATAAGAAACAAAAACTTTTTACGAAAGGTATAAAGAAACTTTTTGAGCAACATTGCGTGCCATTGATTGAGATAAAGATCTGTGCCTTTTAGTAAGCGCGTGTTTTCGGAAAACATGCTATCGGCTGTGAACAAATTAATAAAACAAACATTAGTTTTAAATAAACCGAAATATAGAAATATAAACTTACAGTTAGTAGATTCGATATCATCGTCATTGAACCCTGAGCCACCATTCATGATGGCTATTTGCTCCTTCTTTGTGCCATTGCCGGAATTCTCTGCGCCCACTTTCATGAAGACCTCCTCCATTGAGGTAATACCGACACCGTAACCGCCGAGCATTAAGTCACCTGACTTTGTTTCTAAATCGCTAAACATTTCTTCGAATTTCGCCGAGTAGTTATCCGGCAACTGGTAGGATAACTCAGCGCCAATATCAGCTTCTGGTCTTATACCGGGTATGTATTGATTTAGTAATGCAGTTACCTCGTTCGAATTACAACCTTCACGTTTGACACAAATAAGCCGATAGCCAGAACCATATTTCTTTTTCAAGAAGAACGATGTGCCATGACACTTGAGCTCTCCATCACACATTATCGCAATGCGATCGCCCAGTACATCGGCTTCATCCATGAAGTGTGTGGTGAGCAGTAGTGTGCGTCCGACTTTCTCCGCCTGCAATAGATCCCACAATTGACGTCTGGCTGCGGGGTCCATACCTGAACTTGGCTCATCGCAAAGTACCACTTTTGTGCCGCCGCATAGCGCACAGCAAACCGATAGCTTACGCTTCATGCCACCAGATAGTTTCGAAGACGCCACATTCGCTTTATCCTCCAACTCGATCATGCGCAAGTACTTATCTATCTCTTCCTTAATTTCGTCACCACGCAGACCTTTCAAACGGCTAAAGAACACTATGTGATTCGCCACACTCAAATCATCGAACAGCACATTATGCTGTGGACAAATGCCCAGAGACATTCGCGCGGCCTCAATATTAGTGCGTATATCGCTGCCATTGATGATCGCGGTACCGGCCGTTGGTGGAAACATACCGGTCAGCATAGAAATTGTCGTTGTTTTACCAGCACCGTTGTGCCCTAACAACACTGTTATCTCGTCTTCATACATATTGACCGACAAGCCTTTGACGACGTATTTGTCGCCGAAACGTTTTTTGAGATTTTTCACTTTTAAGCCCACATGTTTGCCAGCTGGTTCAGCCTCAAAGGCATCTGGATTTTTAATCTCAATCGAGCCATTCGACATATCCTCAATACCAGCATATTCTTTTTGCCCACACCAATAGCTGGCGGTGAACGGAAAGTTCCACTTCTTCGGCACGCCAAAGTCGCCAGGCATAATTTGCTCCACATACAAACAAATTAGCATATAGATAACAGAGGATAGCAACATCATCAACATGATTGCGCCGACAGTAAGATTAGAGTCCACGGAAACGGTTTTAAACAAATTGCTCCATTGCAAACCCTCGCCGTTGCCTTCAAAGCCGAGTATTTCTTTGAAACCGAAGCCCATAGCGGTATTAGAGATCAAACACCAGCCCAACTTCGAGCCCAGGGACATCGTTTCGTAGGTTTTTACCGTAAACGACAATGGCAAATAGGTAATAAACCAAACTAAGCCAGTAACGGCGGCTGCTGTGCTGGCGCTTGAGAAGAATGTCGCCATCATGAAGCAGAAACAAATACTGGCTATGGTGTAGATAAGTAAGAACACCAACAGTATGGACCAGTGGCTAAAGGTAAGCACAGCAACGCCTTCATACCACCTAATCTAAAGGGATAAACAAAAAATATGTTCATATGTTAGTATCACTAACCCTTAAAAGCTCTTAACGGTTTAAGGTTATTTAACTTTATCAAATTTACCTTAATCAAAAGTACGATTAGCAACGAGGATATGCCCAACATCAAAAACGATTTTATGAACCAGGCTGTCCAGTGTAGCCAGTTGTCCAGACCCATAATTTTCATCACTTCCTTCAACTGTTTCTCCTTTTCGACGGTAATGTTCTGCAAAATTTGGGATATTTGTAGGTGTTATGTAAATATGGGAGACCTGTTTTCAAAACTATTTGACTTCCAATCCGATCGATTTTGACTACTTTAATTTGTATGTCAAATATATATAATATGTATATATGTCAAAAAAGGTTGCATTATTGCAGATTTAAGTAGACTTAAAGGACTTTATAAAATAAAATTAAAATAAAAGAAAGGAAATGGAAAACCTCAGATAATTAACCTCTCTAGGGAAAAGGTTAGACTATTGGCTGCAATTTATAGTGACCAGACAAAAAAGGGACGTTTCTGAAGCTCTATAGCACATTCTTACACGTTGAGTGCGACGCGAACTCTCTTGCCCTAACCTTTTAATATACCCAAATGTGCTGGGTCTGGATGAATAAACGATGAGTAGCTGGGCAAAGTTATTTTATATGTATCGAAACATAGAAAAGATAAGTGCTGAACCTAATCTTAACTTAGTTGGCTGTCGGAGTAAATTTAGTGGCAGAGTGATGTTACTAAAGCATATTGATTGAATATCTCACTATGTAAATAGACTACAAGAATAATATTTACCTTCGTTATCGACGTGCATGGATATATGAAGCTCAAAACAACAATCAAAGACAATATCGTCTCCAAAGCCTCGATTAATGGATCACTAATATATTTCGGATAGGGATAACGTTGCATTTCTACATAGGGCAAAGTCTCCTTATTGCCAGCCAACTTCAAGTAGGCCATTGACAATGCCTGTTGTACCGGCAGAAACCCTTCTCTTAGATAACCCACCGGCAGACCGCCATCGTATGCATCTGGATTTCTTGGGCCGGCTATATCGATAATCGGAAATAACTTCGAAGTCAACCAAGTCCAACCCAAGGCGCGTGTTGCTGTACGTAATTCACTTGGGAAACGTAAAGAAAACACAAAGTTACGCGGATAATCGGTGATATTCTTTAGAGAATCGTCAAACTGAATGCCGGCCAAATAGTTGTTGGTGGTAAATGAAGTTTCCAAAGCACTCGCATTCGGATATACTACATAACCTTCTAGATTCAAACTTTCTGTAGCCTCTGTAATTATAGCCTCCAAAAATGTGTTATTGGGCGAGAAGGCCAGTTTGTAGAGGGGCTTATTAGCTCTACTCTTGCTGCTCAATGCTTCACTGTGGAATTAACGTGCGTTTGTGGTTTTTATTATATAAAAAATATAAAAAAAATTAGTTAGTTCTTTAAAATAAAGCCATTATAATATGTGCATAAAGATGAAAATATTTGGGTGAGGAAAAGTAGAAATATATACAGTTATAATCAAGCAACATAACATATATATATAATATATAAGTTCAAGCTGATCTGTAGCCACAAGGCTTAGGGTCATAAGTCGATTTTGAATAATTATGATGCGAATACCTAAATGATTTGCCCCGGTACTGTTTCAACCTGATACATAAATGAAAAAATTATAAAGTGACGTTTTGAGCGAATTGAATATATTTGTATAGATATACATATGTAAACGCGGATCAGTTCCGATTACGTTGACTATGCTCTAGATCGACTTAACTGTTTATGCGCTGTGGCCACTGACTTAAGAAAATTTTAATCTCTAATTTGTATATACCTTACATATATACAGATGAAAAATTTTATTAATGAAATTATAAATTATTGGTTTATTATATAGACATATTTTATGAAAAATAAAATTTTGGTTTATGTAGAGTTTTTAGTCTGAAAATTGTTGTACATATCCTTAAGTAGCTAATATTTATACACTATAATTTGATGACGTCAAACTAATTGTATGATTGAATGTAATTTTTTACGCTGTTTATAGAATGAAGCGGATCAAATGTGTAAAAACTCAGCGTGTAGAGGTTAGTAGCATGCACCATTTCCCCGAAATAAATGTGTTCGAACTCAGTTTCCGGAACATAAATATAAATATAATAAATGTAATAAAAATAAACAAATATGAGGCAGTAAGGCTGTGAACGCCTTTTTAATATAGTAGTTTCGAGAGGGAGAACTGTCAAAGTAAATACATACATATGTATGTTTGCTATTTATGTCAATTTACTTTGATTAAATGCTATGCAAATACTCACATTGGAACAATGTGTGAAAATCGGAGAAACTCATTTTTAAAACTTGTGCTTTGACAAACTTTTACATATTTACTGTCTAATCATCTTAAGCAATTGAATTTAATTCTAGCTTAAAGAATATCTGAAAAGCGAAATTTGCAAAATTTGGAGATCGAACAATCCAAAAAAAAAAACTTTACTGGTCCCTATATATACAGGAAAAGTTAGTATATGGTATTATTTTAATTACGTTAGAGCCTAGTTAGGTACAAGAAAAGGACAAGACAAATCGATAAACTTAGAAGGTTAAAGCGGGTCTATTGGCGATCAATGCTCTTTTGTATTTTCATAAAGAAGTTTTGGAAACACTTTATTCAGCCCTCTTGAACAGATCTAGTAACCAGTATTTTTATAACTTTGAATGGACTTCGAAAACCTTCGACAATGATGTGAGGGGAATAAAATGAAGGTGAATGAACGTCTAAAAAATATTGGGTGTTAATTCAGGAAATCAGCAAATCTATAATTTAGTTGCTATTTTTTGTTTAAAAAAAACCTTCTATCGCTATTAATATGAAATTGTATTATCTAATGAATAAAAAAGGTGAAATTTACATCTACAAACTGGAAATTTTTGAGATTTGGACTTAAACCACGAACTCGACTTTACTGGTAATTTTAGTGTTAAACATTAAAGACTGTCACAAACTTAACATTAGTTAGTCATTAACTAACATTTAATAATGAATTATGACTACTTTAAAAATCAGTACATTTTATATTAGTCATAGTCGAACTAAAATAGGTTCTTTCAATTAGAGGTGGTTTTAAATTTAGAAGCCTTAAATCATAGCCAATTTAAAAAATATGAACAGAATAATTAGTATTGTACTTCCTTAGTATTAAAATTATAATGTAAAACTAATATCTTATGATATATAAAATTATTAGAAACATAGCAGGTGTGGTTAAAAGTTCATTTTTGCCAATAGGTTGTGATAATTGCTTAACTAATATTTTTGTTTATTTGATCATTTACCTGTCCCCCTTGTATAAGCCCATAATTTGCTTCACTCTTCGAGCGTTTGCTAATTCCTCTCTGTTAAAAGTTATAGGAAGAAATATCAAATACCATAATTAAAAATTAAAGTATACACCGAACATATTTAACATGATTGTAGATATTCTTCATTTAAATAATTCAAATAAAAATTCACTGGAAATATTAATTTCATATTTCCTAATTAGACGTGAAGACTTATCCAAGACCATGATACTTGTAAAATGTACACTGCTGGCAAAAAATATTGTGGAGTCTAAATGTTTCATGAAATTATATGTCAAACTAATTTAACAGTATTTTTAATATTTTATCTTAAGCGAGATAATTATTTTTAAAGGGGTGTTATACTTTTACAATCAAATATTATAATAACTATTAAAATGTAAGAGTGCATTATTTTCCTGCTAAAGTAACCTTAAATAATTAATAAAATTCAATTTTAATAAATTTATTACTTTAAATAAATTTTAAAAAGTAACTTTTTATTGAGTATTACATCATAGGGAAGCCATCGTTTCAATAGCGAAATATACGCAAGGTCCGAATGAAAGGTATAAAGATCCAAGAATTGTCTCAAATGACATCTATAATAACAGGTTTTGGTAAAAATATAAAAGAAATACATTCTTGTACTTTTATTTTATAAGAAAAAATTCTTTCTAAAACCGATTTCGATTTTCTTTAGGCAAATAATAGTAATTAAAATGTGGCATTTAATAATAAACATGGATAAGTTTACATATTTCTGGGAGAAAAATTATAATTCAAAATATTTTAATTTTTCTTATTAGAAGGTACTTTTATAATGCCATTTTTATGAAAATAAATATTATCGAACTTTAAGTTTATAGGAAATCTAAAAATTTGAAACTTTTTGAAAAGACAAATATAAAGACTTAACTTAATTACCAGCACCTTTAAAGGGCTTCAGTGTTAATCTCGCTGGAATTCACGTCAAAAGTAAAGTAAATGAGATTTAAACAAATCAAAAAATTTGAATAGCTATTATAAAACCCTTAAACAATAAGTTATGTGTAAATTTGTATTATCAGGTTTCTTTAAAATTAATGAAGATTATATAAAAATGTGTAAATCATTAATAAATTAAAGGCATTTGAATGTTTTTATAAATGTATTTTGTTAAAAAATATACGTTTCAATTTTTGAAACTCATCATAATCTGAAAAAACGGGTAGTAATAAAAACGAAAAGTAATTTTGTAGCCACCAGTGTACATATTTGCTTTTTCCAAAAAACTAACGGTAATCATTTACAGCGTCACTATTATTTAGATATAATGTATTACACTCCATACAATAATCTTTGAGTACGATTTTCATAAAAACTGTAAATAAATTTCGACACTTTTAAATACCAATGAAGCAAAGGACAAGCACTAGGTTATGAGGGCGATCCCATCAGGGCACCCCACTTAGACAGGACAAGCACTAAGTATTATACAATTCGTTTGACAATTTTTCTCAATTTTCATACACAAAGCAATATTAATATTTTTTATAAACGTGTAAAGCAGAATTACTCGCTACTTACTCAAAAATTTTTAAATTAGAAATATTTAACGCCGGGTAGGTGGTCTCTCCCATTGTATCCACCTCCACCAGCACTCGCACCAGCACCAGCAACAGTGAAAAAACGGCGGGTAAGACCAGCTCTACGCTCAGTTCTAGTTTGTGATTCCATTGTAGTGTCCAGTTTTTCCATAATAACAATTTGAACTTCTCCCAATTGGTAACTTTCACGTTACTGCTGGACGCATCCATTGCGTACAGCTCTTTGTTTCTAATCACTAGTTAACGTAGGGTTGTAGTATAAACCGAGGCAGTAAATGCAGTGAGGTGTGATGTATCGGTTGAGTATTTTGAAACGTTGATTCTTAAGCTTCAAAACAGAAAAAAATAAAAAATATATTAAAGTCATCAATCTGCTATATGACTCGCTTAATCCAACAGACGTCAATAAAGATGATGGTGTGATAAAGCTATTAATAACTTGTATTACGGTCAAAACTGATTAACCAAATATTGACGGAACCGTTTTAGTACTATAAGAATAATCTTTATTGTGAAAATTTCGAATTTTAAAGTGCAGTGCAGTCGTAAACAATGTGTAATCGATAAAAGAGCTGAAATAATATTCACCGCGTTTTTAACCCTTTTTAAAGCAATCGATAATTCATACCGCTTGCATTGCAAATCACTCTCGCCTTGATATTGTGGGCGGACAGAATTACCTTGGCCTTCTTTAGTGCACATTTGTTCAAGGAATATACCTTTTATTTTGAAATGAGTACACGTCTTCGCTCAAATGCTCAACATGAAATAATTTTGTTTGTTCGATGAGAAAATTAGCCATTATCATATGCCAATCTGAATCAAAGGAGCGAAAAACAGGTCATCAGTTTTGTTTACAAAACGGTGAGCAAATTTGTTATGGAAGTTTGGAAGGAAGTTGGTTCTTAGTTAAACTTTTATTTCTGCTTTATCCTTTGTGACTATCAAAGTAAACTTGGAGAGTTCAGTTTCATTAAAAAAATGTTTTGTGCGATTGACAATTTGCCCAATGTTATTGAGGTTAACATTTTCATTGTGAAGTACACAATTAATGTCATTGATTATCTTAGTTCACACTCACAATCATATTCCTGTGTCAGCTGGTTAAATCTTCAGGAAGTAACGACCTACTTACCTGAGTAAAAAATTTTTCATTTGAATATAGAGACTCTAGTTCTTGACTATACTTAAGACTTAGAAAGTTTTTAATTGACAAAATTAAAGTTGTTCTAAACACCTATTATTATTGTTCTTCATTCATATTATAGCCATAATATAGGTACATATAAACACATAATGTCATTACACTACTAACTACAACCTTATTGAAAAATATGAAAATATACAAAAAAGTCCGTTAAGCTATTTTCAAGTTCTTTGACTTCAAAATGCGACCATTGCGATATTCTATCTCTACATAGTTGACTCACGTGGTATGGCGATAAGCGTACTCGTATTTACAAAAGTGTGCACGTACTTGTGGACTAATATCAGTTATTTTGTGTATAAAGCGATTTCGGGATTACGAACCGTTTAAGCTAAATAATATATGAATAGAGCAATTTTGATTTGCTTTTTCAAATATGCGTTAGTTCGAAATCGACTATTCGGCAATGAAAAAAAAACCAAAGTTCTACACTTATTTTGACACGAAAAATTTACTTTCGTCTCTATGGTCACCTGTTCGTACTTCCGCTGTTAACTTTGTAAAGCAGTCGACGTGTACTTCTCATTTGGTTTGAGATTAGAAATCACTAATACAATACCTCACGCAAGTTTTTGAAAACTGGAAAACGTATATTGAAAAATCGTTCACTAAGTAATTTCGTTTCATGACAACAGCTAATCTTATTGAATTTTTTTGCAGCCAACTTCATACTTAACCACTTTACCGTTATATATTTGAACGGCTTATATAGTGAGGCTTTCTAATTGTTTTTGGAAAAGTTTTTGTTTGGTGCCCTCTCGAAGATGGAAGATTAAAAACAGCATTTTCGGCATATTTTACTGTTTTACTGTCAAAAGGATAAAAAAGCAGTTCATGCAAGGCGAAAATTATGTGATGTGTACTTTTACAAAATTTGTGTTGTTGTGCAAAATTTCGTTCCGCCAATTTCGATCTTGAGGATGCACTACGTCCTGGAAGGCCTCTTGAAGCCGATGTGGATAAAATAACGTCTTTGGTCGATGTAAATCGTCGAATAAGAACTGTAGAGATTGCTGAAGGATTAAGTTTTTCGAGTGCGACTGTTCACGTTGCACAATAAAAAAATCGTGTCTAAATTGCACTAAGAAATTAGATTAAAACTAACTCAAATGCTCCCACAGTTCATTCGAAAAAAAATATACTTGTTTATTAATGGATAATATTAATTTTAATAATTTATTATACGAATATTAGAGGATATGAGAACGAACCGTGTTAATAAAGAATAAGCTCGGCGGGATTTCAGTTACTAACACAGTATGACATATTCTTGGGCATAAAATGAGACTGAAATTTTGAACTTGACTATTATAGATTATTTATGACTAATAACTACAAACGAACCCTTGATAAACGTTCATTCAGGTGCAAGTTCACAGATAATGACCAATTCATTTAACACATATTCACATACATAAACATATGCATGTATAAAGGTACGTGTAGATAAAGAAATATTCTACATGTATCTATCCACATTAGGATCAGTGTTGCATTTAAAGAATACAAAAAAAAGAGTACGAATTGTAAATGCTCGTAAAGTTACAATAAAGATCTAAAATTTAGTTGCATAACGGTTATAAATTGCATTGAAGTATAATTTTTTACATGCAATAAATAATTTCGGCGCTGTATTATTATAGATTATTTCACGCACCCCGAATTAGTTTCATTCTTTTACAGATACCGTAAATTATTATACATATATATTTAGTGTACGATGTGCTATTATAGTCGGTGAGACTAAGTTCCATATCGGAGCAACTAAAACCTGAAAATATTAGTAAAGGTTTTCGTAAAAAAAACTTTAAGCTATTTGGTGTCTTAATAAGTCAGCAAATACGTATGAAAAATTATAATCTCTTTAGAAGTGCTACAGAAAATTTTATCCCACAAATATTTCCCCTTTAGGTGTCTTAAAAAAGCATTACTTTTAAGTTAGTACTTTTACGCCCAAAATCTTTAACAAATAATAAAAGAACGTTGCTAAATCAACAATTATAGGAAAACTTGAAGTATTTTTTGTATTTTTCACAAAAAAACCTTACAATTACATAGGAGGACAGTAGCTGCTGTCATATGCAGATGGTCGCCATCCACCAAAAACATGTTGATTATTCGATTGAAATTCAATATAGAGCCGATATTTAAAAATATGGAGCTACTGAGACTTGTAAATACAAGTATGTACATAACTGACACTTTAAACAAACGCTTTTGGATAATTGCCTGGTGGAACTTTTACTACTGCAAGTATATATGTGATGTGTTTTGATATTCGTTAGAGGACCAAAAACTTTCAAGACTACACTAAAGAGTAGAGAGGACATTTTGATATTGGCTGACAATGACCGGCCAGTATAAATAAAATAACCTTTTTTTCATATTAGTCGGCAACTGGGGTCGTCAAATCCTGTGGAGTACACTAGCACTACAAACGTCGAGTAAAAACTTACGACAAACTGTTGATTCAAAATATCTAAGCTAATTGTGACTAATGTATTTTTCTAAATTTACGGCTTTGTATAATATTTGTTATTTAATAAATTGCCACAGAGATTTTGTATGTAAACCGGATTTCGAATTATCTGCAAGGAAAACACAATGAATTTGTTGTTTCGCATTTCACAACTTCGAATCATTTGTTTTTCATGCTATCACATCAACACTTCAACATTTTTTAGTTTTCTCCGTAATCTATATTGTACATTCTTATATGAAATTTTTATTTATTAATTGTATATACACACATACATATATGGGTTGGTACATACATGCACATTGCATGAGAAAATAATAAAATTTCAATTAATTACTGTGCGATATCATCGCATACTTGCAACATTTATATGTAGCTATGTATGTATACACACACGTCTAAAGCGCTTCTATTCTGTCCTTAAAAATATATACATGCATACATACATATTTATGTACATATTAACTTCTGTTAACATGGTAATTGATCGGATAAGAACTAATTTCCCCAATAAGAACAGTGACAGTCATCTGACCGGTAACTTGACAGTCACAGCTGAAAAAATGTTGTCAGCGCGTAGGACAAAGTTTTTATCAAAATTCTTCTGCGTAATATACAATATAATTTTTATTTCTTTAATAATCGGAATTTAAAACTGCCGAAATAAAAATGAAAATTAACTAACAATATAGTTTTATTTGAAACTTAATAATAACGCAATAACAGCTAAACACAACTTCTCTGAAAATATACACAGTCTCTTTTTTACGTATACAAAATTTGCTTTTGGAAAACCCCTAAACATTGACTGTCACTGACATAACAAATGTGGGTGTGTTGGTGAACCCATCAGCAGTTTCTTGTAGGAATATAACTTTGTGTCACATGTACAAGTTAAAAGAAGTTCAGTTGTATAAGAATTTATTTTTTAGCAATATCTGGTGCGTGGCCGAATTTGTTGAACTTACACCTTTCCCGCCTGATTAGTCACCTATAGATATAATATTAATTATATCGCCACAATTTTGATCATGCATGACATGGCAAAATTAGAAGAGGTCGGTTATGATGTTAGTATATTCTTTATTTTTACAGCTGGAAGAAATGTGTTGAAATTGAGAAAATTCTACTTCATATGATCTTGGCTTTCGCTCTCATCTGCTTTTGGATTACAAATATGTATTGTACATATGTATATGTATATCAAAATGTTAAGATAAACAAGAAGAATAGATTAGGCCATCTTTGTTCATATACCAGTGCTAGCGATAACTTAAGCAGAATTGAGATAAGTTGATATTTTAAATAGAAAACAAGAAAAAGTGTTAACTTCGACGGCATCGAAGCAATAATACCCTAAGCAAATAAAAATGTTTCCATACAAAAACTAGATTTTAAACATGTTTGTATGGCAGCTATATGCTATAGTAATCTAAGCTGAATAATTTTTTCGTCAAATAAAAAAATAATTTTTATAAAAAATCGACTATGCTCGTCACACCGATCATCTATGTATATAATTTATAGAGTATCCGACATTTCCTTTTGGGTGTTACAAACTTCGTGGTAAACTTGATATACCCTGTTCCGAAAAAGTTCAAAGGACTTAATGATCACGCTTATATTAGTAAATATCAATATATTGAAACTCGGAGGCAATATTTATTTACCTTAGCAGATATAATCAGATATTAGAAGGGTATTCTAACTAAAAAATATTAAATATACTTTGCCTAGAGCAGGCTTTTTCAACCGGTATGCCGCGGCACACCAGTGTGCCGCGTAATTTTTCAAGTGTGCCGCGACGATGCTTAATTGCAGTCATAAAAAAATATTTCGAAAAACATAAGACGCGTAGAGCTTGAGTAACAGAGCGAAGGATACGGAAGGGCGCGGGCGGGTGAAGCGGCGTCCGCCGGCCGGCCGCTGCTTGTCCTTGTTTTGTTTCATTCATTCGTCCACTTGTCGTGCTTCCGCGCAGTCTTGTACTCGTGTCACTTGTTCTTTGTTGGTCTCGCTGCATTATATCAAACTCGCTGTGTTTAGTGTGTGTATATTTGGGTTCTAACGAGACCTTCAACATGGATAAATTCGTAACCCATACGTCAACTGATGATCAACCGTCATCGAGTCAACCCTTCGTTAAAAAACAAAAAGTTATGAATACTAAACGGCAGTACGATGAAGACTATTTAAAGTTGGGGTTTACTTGGACAGGAGACAAAGACGAACCAAACCCTTCTTGTCTTGTTTGCGGCCAAAAATTATCCAATATAGCAATGGTCCCTAGAAAATTAAAGAGACACCTCTCTACAAAACATTCTCATCTCTTGGACAAAGACTTACAGTACTTTCAACGTTTGCTGAAATCTCAAGCCCAGCAATGTACAAGTCTTACCAAGACAATGACTATATCTGACAAGTATCAAGAGGCAAGCTATTACGTGGCGGAGCTTATAGCAAAAAAAATTAAACCACATACTATAGCAGAAAATTTAGTTTTGCCAGCTTGTCGTCAGATTGTGAAGACTTTATTTGGGGTTGAAGCTGAAAAGGAGGTGTTGAATATTCCTCTGTCAGATAACACCATCAGCAGGCGCATAGAACACATGTCAGAAGATATTGAAGCACAAGTAATAGAAAAACTACGAATTGTTCGTACATTCGCCTTACAAGTTGATGAGTCAACTGACATAAGTGGGAAGGCTCAGCTGCTGGCATTTATACGTACTGTCTTTTTTTGTTGCAAAGAACTGCCCGAAACAACAAGAGGCGAAGACATATTTAATGTTTTGGATGCATATTTGAAATCCTCTGATTTATCATGGATCGATTGTATTGGAATATGTACCGACGGAGCACCTTCAATGACTGGTTCTGTAAAAGGGCTTGTTACTTTGGTGCAAGAAAGAAATCCAAATATTGTACTGACCCACTGCTTTATTCATAGGGAAGCATTGGTATCAAAAACTCTACCGAATGATTTCAAAACTGTTTTGGAAGATGTAGTAAGGGTTATAAATTTCATTAAGAGTCGTCCGTTGAAATCTAGATTATTTAAACAAATTTGCCAAGACATGGATGCAGCCCACTACACGTTGCTTCTTCACACCGAAGTAAGATGGCTCTCAAGAGGACGTATTTTGTCCCGCGTGTATGAACTTAAGGAAGAGTTATTAATATTCCTCACATTGGAGTCATCAGAGTTTGTTAATTTATTCAGCGACGATACATGGTGCACAAAATTGGCGTACTTGGCAGATTTATTCGAACATCTTAACAAATTAAATGCAGGTATGCAGGAACGAAATGAGAATATTCTGACGTCATCTGATAAAATAAAAGGTTTCGCAGAAAAATTAACGCTATGGAAAAATCATATATGTCAGGGCACTCTGTCCATGTTCCCGCATACAGCGTCAAGAAATGTAGATTCTAGAATGAGATCATTGATAAGGGATTCATTAGAATTGTTAGAAAAAAATATAAACAAATACTTTCCCAACATAGAGGTTGAAAATTTTGATTGGGTGAGAGACCCGTTCAATGTTTCACTCAGTAGCTTGGTTGGTTTTGAATTGGAAGAAAAAGAACAGTTTTGTGAGTTAAAAAATGACCGCACTTTGCTATTAAAATTACAGGAGTTGAATGTAAATAAGTTCTGGTTACACGTTTCAGCAGAATATCCAGAATTAAGTAAAAAAGCTCTCATTGCCCTTTTGCCGTTTTCGACATCTTACCTATGCGAACAAGGGTTTTCAGCATTGACAAATATAAAAAGTAAAAATCGCGAACGTCTGCTATCTGTTGAAGAAGAGCTTCGAGTATGTTTGTCGACAATTCGCCCAAGAATAAAAAGCCTTTGCTCCACACGCCAGGCTCAAATATCGCATTAATTGATTATATCATGTTATTTAAAACTTATTAATGTAATTAATAATAATATTATTAAAACTTTATTTTCTCGAAAACATTTTATTTATTTATCTCAGAACATTACCTTGACAGGCTTAACCTAATTCGGTAGCATAACATGAATCAAGGCTAGAGGCCTTATACCTACGCCTACCGAATTTTTTATTGGTGTGCCGTGAAATTATACTGAAACTAAAAGTGTGCCGGTGACAAAAAAAGGTTGAAAAAGTCTGGCCTAGAGGGTTACCAGTCTAAAGTCTCAAATAATCACATAATTCTTAGATTTTTTAAAAAACGAAAAAAAAATATAAAACTATGTTTAAGACCTTTACTATTTGGTATTAAATACTAGCACTTTAGAAACTATAAAATTTTTTTAATAATCTTGTAAATTATTTCTTTGAATACCAGTGTAGTGTAACCCGGGAAATTTATATATGTACAATTTTTTCATAGGTTGGGTTTTAAAAAAAATCGTAATTCATATTAATTTATCAATAATGAAAACGACCATCCTTCGCCTCATTTTAATAAAATTTTGACCACTCAACCACTTTTGAAATTCACGCCAAATGCGGGAGCTTCTAATTCCAATTTCACAAAAACTTAAAGCATCATTCCAATACTACACAATATACGTTTTATTCGTGCGAAAAGTCAAAAAAATTTAATTCAAGAAAAATTCTGAATATTGAACAAAACACTTTTACGTTTCAAAAGTTCTAATTATTTAATATATTTTTTGTTTGACAAAATTTTTAGTGTATACATACATATGTATGTCTGCTCACCTTCGCAATAGTACCAAAATCCTAGTTACTTTTTGTTTTTCCAGGACTTCTACTGGCAATTCTGCTCAATCAAATATGTATGTATATTTTCTTTTGCTTTGTATACAATCTTTCGCACATTTTCTATTTAAATTCCATATATGTACATAGTTTAAGCACAATATTGTTCACAATTCTAGCCAATTCAGCAATTATTGCTCGTCACCGACACCATTCTTGTTTTTATTTTTCACTTCGTTTGTATTTTGTTTCGATAATATTAATACGTCAGTCTGACAAAGCAAAAAATAAATCCCAATGAAGACGTATGTATATACATATGTATGATGTGTAAAAATTCACGACGAAAAAAAGAAATGCATGTGAATCAGTCTCGCGACGTGAAATAAATAATAGCACTTTTCCAGCTATGAACCGGTTACTTTAAAGTATAAAAAAATTACGATTGTACTATTTTCTAATATATTTATACATGTATATGTATGTACAATATATGTTTTTCAAATGAACACTTTTTAAATATTCAGTCACTACACAAGTAGTTTATTTAACTATTTCGTAGGCGGACTGCCGAAATACGACACAACTAACCGGCACTAAACTCGGAAGCGCACTGAACTATGTTCCAAGCAGAAGTTCTAACCAGCGTGGTCATAATATTGAAGGTAGTCTGATGTCATTTTGAAAATCCCATCCATAAAAAAATGATGTGCGAATGAATACATACACACAATCAACACGTCCTAAGTCAGTTCTAACGGAGGCAAAAAATATGTATACTCATGCTAGTAGCAGAACTTTCTGAGCGCCACAACCAAGGTCGGCTAAGAGAGAATCAGTGGCAATGTTAGTGGAGCCACAAGTGAACGCCAAATATACAGTACGCTCATATGCCTGTATGGGAGCCAATCAGCTGATAGTTGCGCTCGTTCGGGCCGTATAATATGAATAAAGCTTTTAAGGCTTTGAGAGCAAAGTTGCACGCGGCGTGTTTCGCGTTCAGTGTGCTTGATTTAGTGGCTGGCGCTAGTCGCTCAAAATATGAATTTCTAAAGAAATGGATTGCTATGTATGAAAGTATGTATTTAGTGGTTTTATATGTTTCAATGTATATATTTGTATAAAAATAGCCTTGAATGCACTTTTGCGCAGCGACTCTCAATTTGTTTACGTTTGAAGTAATGCAAGGAAATGGGCTGGGTGCGACTTTCGGCATTAGAAAAATTGTATTTTTAAACGCGCTCATATATAAATATATTATGTACGTAAGTATATATATATATATATTTGTGCATGTAGGAGAGTGCATTTTTTGCATTTGTTCTATGGAATTTCATAATATTTTTATGTGAATACACATGTATGCACACGTACATATTATATATAAATGGCAATTAAGCAATGTTTTAATTAAATATTACAATACTTTCATAAACAAAACAGATCGATTTGATCTAAATTCTTCTCTTAACCCATAATTATATTAAATTGCAGTCTCTTGGACGGTATATGTTGCAATTTGGTGGTTTCAGTTTGAATAATTAAATCTTGATTATTATTTTTTTAGTATTTTGCTAAAAAAAATACATATCTATGTACATACATACTTGTTTTATTATATTTTACTGCATTAATTAAGACGCATAAATAAGTTTGAATAGTCGTGATTAATTAGTCAATGAGTTTAGTCAATCAATGAATCAGTATTTATCAGCCGTCTTGGAACCAGACAAAACATACAGTTATATATGTATGTATATACATATAATATATTTCTTTCTAGTAGCAATCGGATACTGATTGACAATGTCAATCCAGCGAGAGAAGATCTGAAATGAAAATCAGCCGTTCGCTTCTTCATTGATTAGATATTAGTGGAGGAGGTTCCCTACACATACAAGTATATAATGATATCATCTGATCGATCAGCAAATTTTTTATATTTGTAGGCGAACTTTACAAATCTTCAAATATATGTTTTTATCTCTTCTGTCAAACCTAAAACTATGTATACTATACGAGTATAAATACTTTTACAATTGTTTATACCAGTAATTTATATACTTTAATTGTAAAAAGCTCAAGCCATTTTTTTAATATAATATTTGTGATTATTTATCGCAGACTATTCATAAGCATGGCAATAAATATTCGTATTATAAAAATTGCATTCCTTTATCGAGCTTTTAAAAACTGGTATAAAACTGCATTTAGTTCTCCAGACTAATATTTATACCCTGAACAGTTTCCCACGAAGTTTGTAACACCCAAAAGGAAACGTCGGAGACCCTATACAATATATATATAAATTATCAGCATGGTGAGCTGAGTTGATTTAGCCATGTCCGTCTGTCCGTCCGTCCGTCTGTATATATGCAAATTAGTCGCTCAGTTTTTAAGCTATCTGAAATTTTGTACCTGTCCTTTCTCAGTAAGAAGCTGCTCATTTGTCGGAACGGCCGATATCGGACCACTATGGCATATAGCTGCCATACAAACTGAGCAATCGGAAGCAAGTCCTTGTATGGGAAACTTTTTTATTTGACGTAATATCTTCACGAAATTTAGCATGAGCTATTTTCTAAGATAACAATGTAATTCCCGAAGAAATTGTATAGATCGGATGATTATAGCATATAGCTGTCATACAAACTGAACGATCGGAATCAAGGGCTTGTATGGAAAACTCTTTCATTTGACGAGGTATTCTGACGAAATTAGGCATGAGTTATTTTCTAAGGCAAAAATATAATCTCCGAAGAAATTGTTTAGATCGTATCACTATGTCATATAGCTATCATATAAACTGATCGATCGGAGTAAAGTGCCTGCATTGAAAACAATTTTATTTTTTATTGTCGATTCACGAAATTAGATCTGAATCAAGTTATTGTAAGGAGCATTTGTATCTGTGATCTTCGGTGCAAACGAAGTTAACGTTTTTTCTTGTTATATATTTAAATTTACATACATACGAGTAAATACGCTGCAGAAATGAAACAATAAAATGTTTTGATCAGCCAGCTAATGTAATACTTATAAAACGTATCGAATACCAATCTAATAAATAATCGCATGATATAAGCAATTTTTCAATATTTGTAGATATCACATATATGTATGTACGTACAATACATATGAATACATATGTAGCCAAATAAACGATTTAATTGAGGTAAGACTATCAATCAGCGATTCGTGAGTGCCAAGACATTAACGAAATCAAAATTATGAAAAAAGCATTTCTTTACCCGAAATTGTGCGGGACAGAAATTAGATTAACTTGAATTAAATTAACTTTTCAATGATTGCATTCAATAAGGCGCAGGGGCTAAGTAACTTGCTTAAAAAACTTTCCAAATATGTGTATAAATTATATATAAAAATGTCGTACTTTTTAAACTTAATTTTAAATAGCTATTGTTGTAATAGGTGGCAACCCTATCGAAAAAAATTCCAATTGTGATCTTTTTTAAACCATCAATTTTGTTTAAATTAAATTGTATGTAAGTGGCAGCGCGCCACCTCTTAGGTTTCTTTCTTGGTTTCACTATCCGAATATTACACCGAACAAGACAAGTTTATGTTCGAAAGTAATAAAAGTTCGGTAATTATCTAAAGAATAACATCAAAATGCTAAATTAAAATACATGGGTGATACAGCGGGCCTACAGCTAAATGAGTTCAAATATGGTACCGCCCGCTTTTAGAAAAATTTCATATCTCAAAAACTACTTAACTAATTTGAACCAATCTTGGTTCGCAAACATTCTCATAACACCGTTAGCAAACTGTACAACTTCGGTTGAAGGCCACACCCACTTTTTAAATAACACCATTCTAAATTTGTACAGCGCATTCATCTTAACAATATGTAACAAAATGGAATTGGTACATACTGGCTGGGAAGTTTGTAACGTTTCTATGATAAGGCGCTAATAATACTGCTTACAAATGTTTTGCAGTTAAATCTAACCAAATTATACGAGTATATTTCATTTAATTTGTCAGAAAAATTTAGCTATTTGAAAAAAAAGATAAAAATTTATATGAAACACTTTTTTTGAGAAAACAATGCTGTTGATCACAAAGAATTGCTTGAACAGTGCTTCGGTCTCTCCGGCAGGCGTAGCTACAATTCGTAAGTAATAACAGTCGAGTATACGCAACCAGAACGTAGCCGAATTTTTTTTAGGTCAAGGACTGTCAACTCATCACCATTCTTAGAAATGATTTGAGGAATGTTTTCAGCCGCCACAACAACAACAATTAGCCTAGTAAAAAAAGACTGTTAAGAAATAAAAACATAAAAAAATCCAAAAAGCTGATAGCCATACAAACTGAGCAATCGGAAGCAAGTCCTTGTATGGGAAACTTTTTTATTTGACGTAATATCTTCACGAAATTTAGCATGAGCTATTTTCTAAGATAACAATGTAATTCCCGAAGAAATTGTATAGATCGGATGATTATAGCATATAGCTGTCATACAAACTGAACGATCGGAATCAAGGGCTTGTATGGAAAACTCTTTCATTTGACGAGGTATTCTGACGAAATTAGGCATGAGTTATTTTCTAAGGCAAAAATATAATCTCCGAAGAAATTGTTTAGATCGTATCACTATGTCATATAGCTATCATATAAACTGATCGATCGGAGTAAAGTGCCTGCATTGAAAACAATTTTATTTTTTATTGTCGATTCACGAAATTAGATCTGAATCAAGTTATTGTAAGGAGCATTTGTATCTGTGATCTTCGGTGCAAACGAAGTTAACGTTTTTTCTTGTTATATATTTAAATTTACATACATACGAGTAAATACGCTGCAGAAATGAAACAATAAAATGTTTTGATCAGCCAGCTAATGTAATACTTATAAAACGTATCGAATACCAATCTAATAAATAATCGCATGATATAAGCAATTTTTCAATATTTGTAGATATCACATATATGTATGTACGTACAATACATATGAATACATATGTAGCCAAATAAACGATTTAATTGAGGTAAGACTATCAATCAGCGATTCGTGAGTGCCAAGACATTAACGAAATCAAAATTATGAAAAAAGCATTTCTTTACCCGAAATTGTGCGGGACAGAAATTAGATTAACTTGAATTAAATTAACTTTTCAATGATTGCATTCAATAAGGCGCAGGGGCTAAGTAACTTGCTTAAAAAACTTTCCAAATATGTGTATAAATTATATATAAAAATGTCGTACTTTTTAAACTTAATTTTAAATAGCTATTGTTGTAATAGGTGGCAACCCTATCGAAAAAAATTCCAATTGTGATCTTTTTTAAACCATCAATTTTGTTTAAATTAAATTGTATGTAAGTGGCAGCGCGCCACCTCTTAGGTTTCTTTCTTGGTTTCACTATCCGAATATTACACCGAACAAGACAAGTTTATGTTCGAAAGTAATAAAAGTTCGGTAATTATCTAAAGAATAACATCAAAATGCTAAATTAAAATACATGGGTGATACAGCGGGCCTACAGCTAAATGAGTTCAAATATGGTACCGCCCGCTTTTAGAAAAATTTCATATCTCAAAAACTACTTAACTAATTTGAACCAATCTTGGTTCGCAAACATTCTCATAACACCGTTAGCAAACTGTACAACTTCGGTTGAAGGCCACACCCACTTTTTAAATAACACCATTCTAAATTTGTACAGCG